GACTCTCTCTTTGTGGGGATCTCTCTCTCTCTCTCTCTCTCTCTCTCTCTCTCTCTCTCTCTCTCTCTTTCTCTCGATATATATATATATATATATACTAATTCACCATTCAGTTCAACATGTAAACCTGAACTGGATGAAGTCTAAATACAAGCATGATCCCTTTCATCTTAAATGGACTTTGGTATCAACAATCTATTTGTCTTGATGGTATTGATCCGAATGCCTGCTGGCTCATTGGTGATGAAGGGGGCGGATGAACCGTGTCAGCGAATTGTATCTTGGCTCGGACCTTTTTTTTTTTTTTTTTTTTTTTTTTTTTTTTTTTTGTTTGTTTGTCAGACAAACAAAAGCTTGCCTCATCTGGCGCTGCACAAAGATGGACTTGTGGGGTGGATGCCTTTGAACGCAATGACAAAAGGTTAAAAAGTGTTTTTCATCTTTCTGGAACCACTTAACGCTTGACTGGGCTGCATTAAAATATTCCAATTATACAAAACAGGTGTAGTGCAATTGACCTCATGCAACTTGCTTTCACACCTGGTGATGTCACATCTGATGTCACAACAACAAACGGTGTATCCATCAGAGGTGGGTAGAGGAGCCAAAAATTGTACTATAAGGAAGAGTATTGTTACTTTGGAAAAATATTACCAGTAAAAAATGGGCAAAAATCCACCCCCCTCGAATGTCAAAGAGACAAAAAAGAAAAAAAGCAAAAATATTGCCCAATAATTTATTTTCTTCTTTTTTTTTTTTTTTTAGCTAAACCAAGGTGAAGCCACAATAAATAGTTTTAAATTGTCTTTCCTCATTCACACATACATCACACAGCACGCTAATTGATTCATTATCTAATTATGTATAATTGGACCATTGTGAACTTCGACAGCCGGATTTGCCCACATTAATCAGTGCAACTGACATTTGGAAGCAAAATCTAGTTTTATTTTTATAGGATGGTCGAACTCAAATTGGGTTTGAAAACCATAACATTTGAGCTCTGCCATCTTATTTCTTTATCTTCGGTGCTGTGCAAAGACTGCAGAGATTGTTTTCTCTCCCAGCTAATTTTGAATGTGCACAACTGCAATTTCCATTCAACATACCAACCGCGACGCTGTCAAACAACACACCCTAAAAGCACTTTGCCAAACGACACGTCATGAAAATATGTTCTGTAGACTTAGCGAAATGGCAGGCGACAACAAATGCGCAGGGTCACAATCTCATTTTCTTGTTGTCTTCTCACATCTTGCTTTCAAATGATCTCTTTGGCCTGATATAAATGGCACGTGGCATCCAATCTGATTCAGGAGAAGTGCAATCAGGTCACACAGCCGGTGACGCTGCTCCTTTATCGCTAACATATTCACAGCTCGGGTCACTATGCTTGTTGTTTGGTTTTCGAGGGAAGTGTAAACCTCGCTCGTAGGAGCTTCTTATCTGTTCTCTTGAAAGAATGTGAACAGTCCCGTCATTTTCACCACACTATCAATTTTGATCGGTGAGATTACACCCGTACGTATACTCAGGAATCACGAGGAAAGAGAGAGTGAAAGGTTCCAGTGTACTCATTAGTGTTATTGACACCACACCTTTGTTGCACTTGAGTCAGAGTCGTTGGTTTTGCGTATCTGCCGATACCGTGATTGAATTGGGGCGTCTCGACAAATGACTGTGTATTCGGTGTTGAAATATGCAATTGTATCGGTTAAACTTTACCAAGGCGAAATTTATTCAAAGGGAAAATGAAAAGATTTAGGACCACATGAGTAGAACCAGCAGTGCTCGTTTAAAAATACTTCACTGGTGATGGCACACTGTAACTCCAAAGAAATGTTGCAGAAGTGGTCATTTCAAATTCGAAACACTTGCAGATATTGAGACAAATATTGATATATATATA